TTTCCTCGAATCTAGCCTTTTGATTGGTTCTGTATTCCCTTCCTCGCTTCCCGATTGATCTCCCTTTTTGTTTTTAGGTAAAACCCGGGACTTGTTCGTGTCACGAGAAAGGTCCGTTTTGTGGTGTCTGTCCGATACTTTTTTTTTATCGACTCTGACTGTATATTGTTGATAAATCTAGAAGTTGTACGCTCATAATTCAGCCCGTTGTTTCTATTTTCTGTCAATTTTTGGAAATTAATTAACGACTGGATGTTTTCTTAACCGTTTAATCTTTCCCCTTTTTTGACTTTTTAACCAGAATCGACTGTTTATGAACGGTCGTGTCAGAGTTCCATCTTCTCCAGCCAACATTTCACCTAATCCGTTACATCAGTCGTATTTGGCGTTTGTTTTAACAACTACAGTTTTCTTTTCTTATATAATCTATCGTTATAATTTAAACACAAAAATTCCGACAACACTACGAAAGAAAAGGCATAGAACCATGAAATGCACTAGACATATATTTATATAAATGCACTAGACACATATTTATATTACCTGTACCATTCTGGTAAAGGCAATATAAATATGGAAGTAATGGGCACAATATGTGGAATTTATGAAGATTTATTCGGTATCGGGTGTGCAGGATGCATGCCATTACACACATTGGCATATTATAGAGATTGTATGCGGAATGTTGGACCATGCTGCATCCGTTCGGATATGCAAAACAGTAAAGTTTGCGGGTGTTCTGCTGTAGTGTTCTCTTACGAAGACCTATTCGTAGGGTTGGGGGCATTCTCTTTATACTATCCTCTGGCCATCATTATAACCAAGGGAAAAATTTGTCATTAAACAAGATTGCTTTCATTCAGAGGACCAGCCCAGGTGCCCAATTATTCCATTATGTGGGATTAATTGGGTAATGGAATAATATCATTATCATGCAAACACCTCCTAATGGTGACACAGCTGAACTTTCTGTGTGTGGTAAGAACTTACAGTTGCAAATGGATTGGTCACTACAATTCTCACGTAATGATTCAACTGTTCAGAGGTTTGTCATTGTGCCTCACTTTCTCATCGTCTTGTTTGTATCTTTGCAACCACTGTGATACGTAATATTGAACGGTACTTACGTTCCATCCCACATTCCTTGCAATAGTCTGCAGAGATAATCGGACATTCCTTGGTTCAAGTAATCCATTCTGCTTAGTCTTAGACAATTAGTGACAACTAATGTCACGGGATCATATTGCACTACTTTTCTCATTCTTTCACAATGTGGCAACAACAAGCTATTTTCAGTGAAAAGTTTATACCTTCAAGTCTCTCTGTGGTCTTACCCATATATGAGGACCAAACTGAGGTCCGAAATCATGTAAATTGTTTAACACGGTGTTCTTATGTTTAAGTAATAACGATAGATTAAATATGAGAGGAAAATCCCATAATTTAAACAACGCGGCACAAAGTGTAGACGAGTCTCGGATGACTCCAACACGTGTTAAACGAACTGCCAATGTCAGAATGAAAAGTTATAAATCAGAGACAAGTGGTCATATGCAGGTAGAACTTTGACCCAAGTGATCATAAACAATCAATCTAGGGAAACAATTTCGGAAAAGAGGGAAAGATTTAAGAGATATAAATCATTGCATATGATGTTCGAGTACTCAGATGACAGAAATCGCGAGTTACGGAGCTAAATTATGAGCGTGAGTCTTGCAATTTTGTCAACAAATCCCAAGAACAATCGACAAAACTGAGTCGAGCGGACACCAGGAATTGGACCTTTCCAGTGATCCGAGTCGGTCTCGGTTTTCCCCAAACCAAAAGAGAGACCAATCGAGAAGCGAGGAAGAGGACGAGGAGCCAATCAGAAGTCCGAATAGTGGGAGAAAAAACTATAAAAATCCGAAATTCAAGGTCGTAGAGGTTCCTTCGTAGTCCACGAAAGGTCGTGACTTATATTGTGGTGTGTCGTCACCAAGAACTTTGGACTCCACCGCTTCCTCCTTCCGACCGTCCGCCTTGCTCAGAGACCTCATCTCGTCCGCCCCGGGGCCAGACAGACGCCGAAGGTCTCGCCTCTCCGCATCTCCAACGAGAAGAACCTAGTGATGGACTGTCGATTGTCGATGTAAGCATAAATGTTAACAAATAAACGGCTTTCTTGTATAAAACACTTGCCCTCATTTGCCTCCTCCGTCACAGCCCACATACAACCTTCCCTTAGGTTCATCCTGATGGGGGATTAATAGATCCCACCTAGGAGACGGCAACCTTACACAGGTGCCGTGGATTGGGTTTCAAGTCCCCTATTTCCACCGCGTCGGCTACCTTACACATATCTCCTATTCTCTGGACAATGTCACTATCTATTAGTGAATATTATAAATGTGTTTCATTTTTAATGCTTCACTGCTGCGACCCATCAGTTGATAAATACTGGTTTAGGGTAATCTTGGGAAATTCTTAACCTCTTTTAGAGTGATTCTAAAGAACTTTTCTAGCAAGACAGAAATATGGTAATGTAGTGATCACTTTATAATTTTATGTATATAGACTGTCGCAAAAAAATTTCAGAAATCCCACAAGGCTGTTTTGAAAATGTTGCACAGGCACTGATTCATACATAGTTGTGCTACTGGACTGCATCACTAGGTTGGCTGGCACAAGTAAAAGGATTAGGCAGACACCACAATCCATCCTACACAAGGAAAATTATGTAGATCTTAACAACAATGAAGATTAGCCCAAGTTAAAAGAACTAGCAACATTTATACAGGAAAACCATTTAGGAGAAAAATACCTGTCAGATCAGTTACAAGTAATGATTGTGTCTTTGTTTTGTTGTGTTTCCAAGTTTGTTCAGGAGAGTTGCAGAAAAGCTTTTGTTATTCTCTCACCTGGTGTTTAAAATAGTGTTTAGCCTCCTCAGGCCTCCAACATGGTTTTAGGGATAGGACCCACAAAGTCACCAGGATGTCAAAATATTGGGCTTATGTGGTTTGTAAATGTTCCCTCAACGTACAAGTTTAAATAATTTTGAAACATTCTACAAACTATTATCACTCCATTACATCATTCTGATATGAAAATTATATCTACACATTAATGTGAACATTATAAATATTGGCATGGAATGAATGGAGACAAGGTGATATTTTGTGATTTATAAATATTTCTTATCTGATATGCTAAGACACAAGGACAATTTTAACAACATGAAATACTGCACTGTGATAACACCTGTCACTCTGTCATAAATAATCCTCGACTGTGATTTCTTACAAGGTTCTAAAGATTTCATTCATAAAAATGCACTATAATAAGTATGATGTACTGTTTTGTCCATTGTATGCATTTCTTATCTACAATTTAGTCTATCAGAAAAAATTTATTTATTTCAAGGTCGTGGAAAGATAATGGTGTAGAATTGGAATTTCTATACTATCTCCAAAATACAAATTATTATTATACCAAATATGACATTTGTTGGTGGAAGGGTTAAAGTTCAACCATATACTGCCAGAGAACCCCCAAAGTTGATCCCAATTAGAGCTAAATAAACAGAAGACAAATAATTACAGCTGTAATTAATAACCGAGTCCTTCAGATATTGTTACTTATATGCATACACAACTGTGCTTTAATATAAGATAATAGTACTATGAATGTGAAAAAGTACCATTACTTATGCATCCATTGCTATTGTTCATACAGATAATTCTATTTACATTCTCACGTACAATTATACTTATAAAATACTTCATAAAAAGAAAGGTCATTTATGTGAATTAAATGCTAAACACTGAACTTAACTTGAAAAACATGTTAATAAATCAAATTTTGTTTATATTCCGCCTATTGTTTAGTCATTGTTTTTCAAACATACTAGAACAGAGATGAGGAATCAGACATTCAGCATGCTTGCAGTTTTTATGGTTTCTAATAATAAATTATTTCTACATTACACTATTTTTTTGTAATAAAAAATCTTTTTTACATTTTTAAAAATAAATGCCTGAAAATTTATCTGACAAGCATAAGAACAAAAAGAGATATTTTTCAAGACTGTCTAAATAAAATATACATATAATTTTTGAACTTATAGATTTATGCAACTTTGTATTACATTGTGACCTTATCAGATCTGAAACAGCACATGGCCTTCCAGTTAAAAAAAAGGTGCCTTGCCTCTTCTCTTACATTGGTATCATAAATATTTTAATTGTTTCCACGATCTTTTGGGTGTACTATTTTTTAAACTTTTTTGGCCATGTGGGCCTATGATAATGCTTTGAATTATGGCACACATTAAAAATCATTCTTTAATGAGATAGTTTGGTAGTGATGCAGGGTCCGATGTACCTGGAGGCTTACCTTTGGTTGCCACTCCAGGAGGTCTGGGGTCAAATCTGGGCAGAATTTTAACAAATGCTAGCAGTCTCTGGGTCTTCAATCGAAGACGAGGTGGCAGTCCTTTCGGAATTCTGTGTTCGGAGGTGGGCTGCCAGACTGGCTGAAAATGCTTGTCAGACAGGGTACTGGATGAGTTGGTTGTTCTCTGTCTCTTATTGTGCTGGGATCAAATAGAAACCATTTACAAACCACAATTTGGGTCAGACCATTCTGAAAATGTTGAAGATCTGACCGATGTCAACGTGAATCCTTACCACCTTAACACCTTACCAAGGTCCTTTATGATAGTAAACCATTACCATCATCATCTTGGCAGATTGTTAAAAAGCAGATATTCTATCACTAAGTTAAGTATTAATTTTTAAAAATTTCACAAGGAGAGTACAATATTCATACTTTAAAATATATTTTTTAATGGATACTTGTATACAACTTTATATATTTACAAATCCATTTAATTATAACAAGTTAATTTTATAAAGAGACTAGAGATAAACAATTAATTTTTTTTCTTTTAAAAAGATATTTACAATAATGTAAACTGTACAACATGTACACATATTTATATTATAAAATTTGGTTTTAATACAATATTGGTATAACCAACAGAAATATTTATGTAGAAATATAAAAAGGTTATTATGCTTACAGGTATATATATAATATAATCTTCTGATAATAATTATATAAAGATAAAATAATAATTCATTCGGAGTTCAGTATATAAACACAGAGAGCTGGGACAATGCGTAAAGGGCATCTGACAATAAGGCACTTTAGAAAGGAACTCGGAGTTTTTTGTGAAGTTAGAAAGTTTCTTCGTATATGGCTAAAATGTTTAAAATACATAATTACGTTTGTCGCAAACAATAAGACCAAGTGGCGAGAGTTCAAACTTACCTTCATCCATTCCAGTATCACAATAAAGCTCTTCGCTAAAAAAGTAATAGAGTTTAATTTTAAAATCTATATCAAATGCTTTATTCTCACCATTAACTTAAAAGAAATGACATTACTATGTGGCACACTCACCTGTTACTCTGCAAGGATGATCTTTGGACAGACATCACCTATGGAAACAAAAAAGATTAAGTTCTACGAACAATAATTGCTGTTAAAGGAACATTAAACTTTAATATAAAACATGATTATGGTTTACAATAACAGTGCAAGCATCATGCAAAGCAAACAAGTACAAATAGTAAGATAAGAAAGAAGAATAAAGTAAATTACCATTGGCAATGTACAATTAAGCTTTACATTTCATTTAAATCTCAGTTAATCCCAACATGCAATTAGTAAATTAATCATGCGGTGTGTAAATCAGTGTTTGACATCCGTGCCAATGTTCTTGGGCAAAGGTAAATTTGAAGCATGCAGCAATGATGTTAATTTTCTAGCAAAACAGCTGCAACAGATGACAAAGCAAGCGATAAAATTACGCAAAATGTGTGCACTCCTACACTTTGCTCACAGTTTTGAAAATGTAAAGAAGATAATTTAGAAACATTTTAACATGATACAATTGCCAGAATCAAATGGCAGACACAATAACATTTTATCTAGAGCAGTGAAAATGAGGTATTATTGTCATAAAGTGATGCACTATTTGACAAAAGAGTTAGCATTTCTATCTCAGAAATTATGATAGATATGGGAATAAAAGTAAATGAGAATGGCACAAATAGTAGGCTGGCTGCACATTCATACATATGCCACGGGGTTGACCGCCTTCAACGATTAGCTGCACTACTGCTAGCCTCCCTTAGCTGTGAAATGGTTAGACAACTGGTCCATGTAGTTGGACTTAGGAGCAGTCAGAAATTGTAATGCATATTGCCATACAGATTCCTTATAATTCTGTCTGTATTTGTCATACAGCAATAGTCTTCATCTGTGTAGCTTGCCACAATCTTTTGTTGATAATTGGATCATCCATTGAAATTGTTTGCATATTGTCGCACCTAAATTTTTATCTACAGGAGCATTTAATATCACAGCCATCTGTTGCACAGGAGAGCATGTACTGCTCATATGAAAATGAAGTCATCGTGCACAATTTCCAGCCTTCTGTTTGCATCATCTGTTTTTGTGAAATGACATTTCCTACTACTTTGATGATGTTCTGCAATATTGTGATTTGTTTCTCTTCTATGTCACTCCTAGTTTCCAAGATAGAAATGTTAACTTTCAAATTTTGTTAGAGGTACTATCATTGCTCACATCTGACAATGAATGATCACTTTACCATACCGATACCTCACTTCCATAGCTCTAGATATTTTAATTCAAAAGTTATTTGAATGACTTAGGATCTGTATACATAAACATTCATAAAGATTATATTTACTTTGTTCATAAAATTATGATTTTTGCAATATTGCATATTAAAGCAATATTAATCAATCCATATAAAGTTTCATCATCATTTGTTTAATCATAATTATGTGTTGTAAGTTCAAATGAAAGTAGAATATGCCTGTTTATATATAAACTGCCAAAATCTTCTTAGCTGTGTTGCAGGTAAAGTCTAGATTACATGAAGGATGGGGAAGACCATGAAAGACCAGATTTCATTTTCCATATGACTGAAAAAGCATATTAAAGAACAAATATTTGCCATATACAAAACAGACAATTTACCTTGGTGTTTCTGACCTGTATTATTGATTAAGGCGGCTTTGTAATGACAGATGTCTTACATTGGTAACAATAATGATCCGGTGGACAGTTTACTCTTACCCAAGTACCCCATATAATGTTAATCAGAATATTCAAATTGCTATCTGCAACAGATTCAGAATATTTACAGGGAGCTCTACAGATATTTCATTTGGTATATAATGAAAAGGTGTGCAAATCAACACATTAGTAAATATAAATAGGCCAAAACTGTAAATAAAGTTTATGCCGGGCATATTCAATTTGCAATATAATTATACAAATTCCTATTCTACAAATTATGAGAAATAATTTACTTATAAAACTGTACTTAAAACTCTGCACTTTTTATGAAAAATTAATACAGAAAATTAAATTCACAAATATATTTACATACGTAAGATGTTTGCATATTTTTTTTGTACCACTTTACGCTTTCATGCATATGCAGAACATGCTAATTAATAGAAAGAACTGCCGCCAAACTCTAAAAGGCAGGTGAGGGGAGGAGGACGGAGTTCTGAGATTTTTTTTAAATAAAAAAATCGGACAACAAATTCAGCAACGGCCTGTGACTTGCCTTACGCAGGCGGTAAACTTGGCCAGCCACGTCTGGGCCTTTTCCGTTGCCACTAGCAGAGCCGGGACGGGAGGTGATGGAGGACGAGCCTGGGCCAATGACAATCAGTGAAGGTAGAGGTTAGTAAGATACCAACACCAGTGTTATGGTTAATACCCAAACACTGAAAACACATATATTTAGAAAATAATAAAATAATAGCTAAAAATGTCCAAGCATTTACAATAATAGTTATGTTTTTATGAAAAATTTAATGGTATTTTACCAAAAAAATTTCAATTTTCTGTTAACTTTTAATTAGGTTTCCATTTTTCTACATTAGTTTGGACACTATTAACTATGTTACTTAAATGCTAATTTATGTTAATAATTAACAAGTATTTAGCATGTATTCTCAGAAGTTTTGCTTTAACACAAATGCACTTAAATAACACATCTATCCACTGCAAAATTTTTCTGAAGTCTTTGTCAAAATATGCAAAACTTCAAGGAAAACATGGGAAATAAATTTAAAACAATTGTACAGAAGAATCTCCATTATCCAGTACTTTGCTCACATTAATCTCTGTCTTTCATACTTAAAACAATGTTATGTCATCCATTTTGTAGCATTTCTTGCACTCGGTATGGTTAACACAGATTTTACACAGTCTTTATGTGTAAAATCTATGTTGAGAAAGGTGATCAAGAGAAAACAATATTGAGTTCAAGTAGAAGACTACTCAAACCCGATACAGTCTTCTCTTGATCTTTGACACAGAATGAAAACTGATATTGCTAGAAGGAAAAATCCCAAAAGAGGAATGAACTTAATATCTGAACTCACTATTTTGCTCAAACATTTAATACCCATTGTTGTTTATGGGCCTTTATAATGTAGTTAATTATCTATTCTTACAACATTTGACAATACAAAACATAATACTGTACAATATACAGAAGATAATGTTTGCTTTAATGGAGTGTAAAAACACTCATTCCACACTTCAACAGGCAATGCAACACAAACTACTTATCAAACAATGGAAGTTACAGCACTACTTTTTGTGACAGTCATCTGTAAGTGTTTTATAAAAATGGTGTTGCAATTTCTACCATCTACGACTATTGTTAGATAAATGATTTTGTAATTACATTGTCTTTGAAGTGCAAAAAAGTTTCTACAATGAAAATAATTGAGAATGTTTAAGTAATGAAAAGCTGAAGCATATTTTTGATGTAAATATATAATTGCTACTTAATTTGGACTAAAGGTAGGCAATTAAATCACCTTTACATATTAAATTTCACATTACACATAAGGTACTAAATTTATGGTAATATTTCATTTGCATACTTCAACTACATAACAAAAGATGCAACAAGCATCAAGCAGTAAAAACTTCTAAACTCATTACAAGCACTTGCCATGCAACAGGAAATCACCAATCAATCTGTAAGGCAGAAATGCTCGCTCAAAAGCACAATTTTATGCAATCACTAAGTAGATTTTTGTGAATTTGTCATGTCACCACAAAATTTCACACCCACTGCCACTATCAGAAACTGCTGAAAATTGTTCCTACAATGATAAAAATACATTGATAACATGAACTGCAGTTGAAACATGCAAGTGAAACTCTTAGTTGAGATAAAAAACAAATTTTTTCAAAAATATCATTGAAAATTTGGGAAAACTGTAACAAATGTATAAACATTACTTACCCTAATACTGCATACATTACAATACACATCATACAGTATTTAAAATGGAATAATAGAGATTCTACTGTACATAAATTATATATAAACATAAAAAAGTATTTAAATTATATCATAAATTGTTAGTCGCACACATGAAAATATAAAGAAGTTAGCCAGAAGCAAAGCGTATTGGCTTACAGATCTGATTGAATCAGCATCTACCTCAATGTTGGTAAGTTCCACGTAACCAACTGAAACAAGAGAAAAAGGTATGAATTAATTTCTACAAAAATTACTATTTTGCATGAGGTATTTAATTAGATTTATGCTTACTTTTCCCCCTTTCATTTTTGACCAGCCACTTTCCAGAAGGATTGTTTTCCATCCTCAAAATCAGCACAATTTCACCCTTTCTCACCGAAAGTTGAAACAGTCCTCCATGGCTATCTGCTTTTACCAGGCCTGAATCAATCGGAATTTCTTCTCCTGTTAGCTAAAGTAATCAGAAATTGGAAGTAAGTAGTCATAAAAATGCATAAATTTTAGATTTTGTAACATATTTTAAAAATATAAATGGCAACAAAAATTAAAAATGACCAGAAGCTACACGAATAGAGAATTGAAGTGTTTAATTGAGAAATCTTCCAAATCTTGGAATTTAGCCACCTCTCCACATATACAGTAAGTATTATAAACAGGGAGAGAGTAGAATCTGTGCTGAATGCAATATTGCTAGTATGAGCCTTTCTGGTTGCCTAGTATCTACTTATGAGTAAGTGTTGGATTTATATGTACAATAAAACTATTTGTATAAACTATTAAATAAACTACTGTTATCATCATTGACAATGACATCATATGGCACCTCCTATAAGAATTAGTAGACTCTTGGGAAATAATTATGGTAATCACTGAGTTTTTTTTATTTTCACCTGATAGCAAAGATAGTGTGCAATATTCTGAAACTTGGACAACAATAAAAAGTTGATCAATAGTTCTGAATCTTTGTATGTATGCATACATATGTACATATTTCATACTTTTGTGCATATATGTAAACTATGCATGTATATTAGGACATTATTAGAATACGTACAAAACAATGTTATTTAAATACATAAAATTACTTGTCCTGACTGACTGAGTCACTAATTGATTCATCATTACCCAGAGCAAACTGCTGAACCTAGAGGTGAAATTTGGTACACAGGGTATGTCATGAAAATGCACACTAAGAAGGGATTTTTCGAAATTCCCCCATGGGGGGAGAGAGAGAGAATTAAGGCTTAACCTGAAGAACAATTTTTGAAATTGATTCTTTACCTTAAATTGATAACATTTCAGACATTGTTATAAATATTTTTATATATTTCAATTTTTTAACCAAATGTTCGAACTGTTTTAAATTTGAATTTGTTATTGCATATTGGTTCAATTATAGAATAATTGTAAACATTCCAGAAAATTGATCAAATTGAAAATAGTTTGTTTGATTCTCAGCAATTCTCATCATTCTCAGATAGGTGTTATATAACAATTACTATGGTTGTTGAAATACTGAATATAAATGGGGTTTGCTTGCAAAACCCCCACAGGTGAAGTTGCGGGTAACAGCTAGTTCTAAACATAAATCTAAAGCTCTCTCAGGATCTCTGAATGGTAAAATGCACTCCACAAATTAGAATTTGTGGAGTGCATTTTGAAAGTTATAAATTAGCATTTGTGGAGTGCATACCACAGTCGTTTGAAAGCCACACTTTCAATCATTACTACATACTAAACTATCAAGTTCAAGGTACTTTGAATACAAAGCACCACGTACTATGGCCTACATGGGTAGTTTACGATGCAATGAATGTAAACCATCTTTTTGTCCATGTACCATGTGTATATTACCTGTATCCATTCTGGATAAATCTAAAATTGTCAGACATTGGAAAATGACAGGGATGTTCAGAATAATCTTTGTATCTGATAATTTACAAAACAAAATAATAATAAATACCCCAAATTTCTTTTTTAATTTGGCTAGTTCTTTTTCCCTTTTCTCTTGTTCTTTCTGCTCTCTTCTTCGCCTCTTTTCTTCATTCCTTCGTAATTTGTCTTGATCTTTTCTATTCGTGTACAGTGGAGTTTCTTGTTCACTACAAAAGAAAATTTAGCTCTTAGTATAATACCAAAATAATGAATGCATTTAAAATATGATGCAAAATTTATCTCAAAGATCTAAAATATGCATTAACATGTTAACACTTACTCTTGGTTCAGATCTGCAGGCATCACTTCATAAAATTCTTCTTGATCGGGCTGAAAAATAAATATATAAATAAATGATATCCTGGGAAAGAACAGATATTAACATTTCATGAACAATTATATGAATATGTGTGTCTATGCATCAGTAATAAACTATGCATAGACAGTATATGTAATCATATTATATGTATATGTGTAATATAATAATCTGATCTTCATGCATAGATGACATGAACCATTCATGTGATCTTGATATAAGTTGGCAGTCTGACAAAAGAGACCATATTGTATGTGCACAAACAATCACTATTTTGTGAGTCTTCTGAAAGACTCACAAAATAGTAGATGTGCCAGTAGTAGATGCCACCAAATGAACTTGTATACTATGCATTCATAATGACAGTGATTAGATCAGCCAATCTGTATCAAGTTTTCTTGTGTTCTTGTGTCTTTGTGGAAATTCATGTGTAAAAACTATTCAAATGATAATAATTTCCAAAGGTCTTCTTTAATTGAAGCCAGAAATTTATTGGAGAGAATCCATGATCTGAAAGGCTTCATCAAGCAGAACATTCTAAAGTATAGAATGTGTACAAACTGCAGTCAACAAAAATCAATTACTGACATTGTGAAAGTATTAGAACAAGATCTGAGGACTGTAGTTTCAGAAATTTTGGCAAGAGATGTGTCAACAAAATTTGTTGCATGGTTCCCATCAAAAGATCAGAAGGAATTTTGTGCAAGAATTGCACAGGACTTCCTTGAAACTACTAACAATGACCCAGATTTCCTCAAAAAGTTCATAACTGGAGATAAGTGGTGAGTCTATGGCTATAGCCTTGAAAGAAAAGTCTGAGTCTCCATATTCAAAGCAGATCTGACAAAATCAGAGCAACATCAAGGCAATGTTGACAATTTTTTTTATCTAGAAGGTAGTGTCCACCACAAATAAGCTCCTCCAGGCCAGACAACAATTAAAGAATACTACATCAAAGTCCTTCACTAGCCAAGAGATGTAGTAAGAAGAAAACAGCCACAGTTATGGGCAAGTGGTGCCTGGCCCATTCTTCAGCCCTGGTACAGGCTTTTTAAGGCAAACATCACATTGCTCAAATCTGTCAGCCCACATACAGTCCAGGTTTGGCTCACTGCAACTTTTAGCTTTTCCCCAAAGTAAAATTTCCATCAAAAGATGTAAGTGACTAAGAAGAATGTGATGAGGCAGCCAATGACAATAAAAAAAAGACCTTCAAGATAGTTGAGAAATGTAAGGAATGTTGGAATAAGTGAGAGCATTTCCAGGATACTTTGAAGGGAATAAAGGCACCATTGTCCTAGGCAAGTTACTTTTTTACATTAAATGGCTGGATCCTTTCTGGACAAATTTTGTATACATTTTATTAGTTTTATCAGGGTATTTATCTCATCTTGGAATGTAAATGTTGCCTAAGAATATAAGCATGAAATAATAGAATTAGCATATAATTAAGCAGTGCTGATTTATTAAATTATATAAAATTAAAAGCTAATTCTTTAATAATGTTTAATCAAATACAAGCTAACTATTGCCAAAATTATAATCTTGTTATAAGGTTTCTCTACATATATTAACACAGTAATTTGAACAGGAAAAACAAAACTAAGTTAACAGAATTGGAACAGAATATTTGAAATAAATAAAACCTTCATTAATAAAAAAAATAATACAAAACATTTTTTTAAGATAAAAAGGTTGTATATATAAAAGGGAAAGTTAAAAATCTTTAAAACTTTTTGAAAAAACCAACCATGAGAAAGATAATTTCTTGTGGTTGGTTTTTTTCAAATCTTTTACCAATTTCTGGGGAGACTTAATTAAGAACTATAGATATACAACTTTGTTTTAACAAGTTTCTTTTATTCTATAGTTTTTAATTAAGTCTCCCCAGAAATTGGTAAAAGATTGAGGAAGATAATTTCTCATGGTTGGTTTTTTCAAGAAGTTTTAAAGGTTTTTTAACTTTTACTTTTTTAAATATACAACTTTTTTACCTAAAATCAATGGAATTGGTATATTTGTTTAATTTTTACAAATACTAAATATGTTTTAACAAAGACAAAATTCAATGAAACATCTGAGTACTTTTAAAGTTAGATAGATGCTTGTCTTGGAGGAAACTCTAACATTTGAAAAAGATTAAAATATTAAATGTTCCTTGCCAAAATTTACTGTTTTCTTTGGAAAAGAATAAAAATAGACACTTATATCTTCTATGAGGCTTACATGTACACTTTCCTGAACAAAAGAAACAGATTTCAATACAGCAACAATTAATATTTCTTTGTACTAATTCTGTATTTATACCTTAGGGATAATTGTAAAAAAAAACAAGTGTTTGTTCTTTATTATGTTTTGCTTCAAATACTAATGCTAATTTTTGTGTTAATATAATTTTGATGATATGAAACCGTGCTTTACAATTTGTTTATGCTTCTAACACAATAAAGTGCTATAGCACTTTATTGTGTTAGAAGCATTAATATAATTTGTTACAAATGAAATAATGTAAACCTCATTGTAATATCTTTCAATCTAAAGAATTGTTAGATTCATATCATTTCCTTGTAAACTTATTGTACTTGTTATATAGCCTGTTTTTCAAGTATTGAAATTGTAATTTAATACTTTTCTCATCTTATTATCAAGTATTTTTCTGGTCTACTGTCAATGTCTTCAATGATACGGCTGTTAAACTACACTTAAAATTAAAAAAATAAAAGTAAATTATTTTTCCTTTCCATATTTTGAAACCATGTTGTATCTTTATATTTGTTTTTCAAAACTGCAATGCAGCGTAATAATCAACACTTGGCATAACTCATTCATTTATTTCAGCTTTTGTTGAACAAAAGCTGAAATAAATGAATGAGTTATGCCAAGTGTTGATTATTACGCTGCATTGCTGTTTTGAAACACAAAAGTAAATTAAACAATATGATACTTTAAATAATAAAGACACTTTGTTTATCTAGTGCACATACACACACACATACCATTTTATCATAAAATATTTTAAAGTATAAAATATTAATTGAGACTTGTCTTATTAACAAGTCTCAATTAAGGGCAGAATAATTGATTCATTAAGATCAACCTATTGTAAATGAGTGATATGTTAACAAATCAAGTATTATCCTAGAGAGTTAAGCATTTAGAAAGATTGCATCAAAATCTTGTTGCAATTGAAAAAAATTGTTTTCAATTACAAGAGAAAATTATACAAGATGGGAAAACAAAGCACAAGTGCATCAGCAGAAAGAAGATAGAAATGGGAGTAGTCCTGAGGAGAAACTCTCTAAACAAGATGGAAGATTTGTCAAATTTTTAATCAGTCTGTAGCTAAGATTAGAAAAATAACTCCAAACCTTTGTAGTACCTTCTAAACAATTCTCCAGTAGGCTTATTACCTTGATAACAACTAACATTTTCAATCATTCAGCTGGATCTTCTTCAGGCCGAATATAAACATTGCATTTTTAAAAATGTTCCATTAATTGAATGTGTCTACAGGTTAAATTTGCTGCATGCTGTCATTGCGAATTTAACCTGGAGAAGCATTCAATCAATGGAACATTTTTAAAAACGCAATGTTTATGTTTGACTTGAAGAAGATCCAACTGAATGATTGAAAATGTTAGTCATTATCAAGGTTTATCAAACTACTGAAAAATTGTTTAGAAGGTTTGAAGCTATATTTCCACTCCAGTATTAATAAGTGTGAGTAGAAGATTAGAAAGGCACATAAAGGACACAAAAAAATTAAATTTCTAATTCTGTTCACTGGAATGATTTAATTTGCAGCAGAAGTGATTAGACAGTGAAAATAGGCTAACATATCTGGATTATGTCATTCATAAAAATTTGGTAATGCCTTGCCACCTCAGCAATCCTTATATCAAATCTCTGAAAGCTCTGCTAATTGAGACTAAGAAATTTCAGACCTACTAGAGATTGCAGATCAAAGATATCAATGTTAGCATGAGTAGCTGAAGCTCTATGTGACAATAGCAATATTAGGAAGTGCAAGCTTTAGGAGAATTGGTTGCACTTTTGGTATTTATAAAGTATTAATGATGAATTCTTAATTTACATGTAACTCATTAGATATGTCAGTACTGTCCAAAAAAGAAAACATATTTTCTATTTCTTAATGTTACATATAGGTTAAAGCTTTCACAGTTTTTAATGGAATATACAGAATACTGTAATATTAAAAATATACCCTGCTGCCACAATTAAGCAATCATTCTAATCTTTGCCAGCCAAGTACATAAGGTAATTAAGATGACAGCCTATGATCACTCTGGAAACTTTGAATCAAACTGGATGGCAAACCCTAGAATTTTTCATGGGTGGACTGCCCCCAAATGTGTTAAATCTTATCCCTTACCATCTGGCTCCCTTGCACCATAATAGGGCAAGACAACTGGAGCAAGGGGCCTGACTAAATCCACAATGAGCTTCGAAAAAGTCCCTTTAATGCCCACAGGGCTGAAAGAGTCAAAAATAAATTATTTACAAAAGAACTACTTTTTCCTCTGCATATTTGAACTATGGTATGCCAGCTCTACTCTAAATACAGAACATACCATAATAAACATTCTTCTCAATTATATCAAGAACTACAAACTATCTTAATATACACATGTAGATCTAGTGCAAAATATGTTTCAAGGCTTTTAATTTGATGGATTTGAGTTAGAATCACACATTAAATCACAAATGGATACATAATTTAATGTTAATTCACACAAAACTGATGAATATTTAATTGCTGTTTGCTAACCTTTAATTACTGCTTTTCCCACTTCAATCAATACTTTTACACTCCAAAAACTATCAACTGAAGCACAACAGTGAATGGTGTAATTTAATGATTTACCCATTCAATGAAAAGTATTTGGAAATGAAAAATACTACAAAAATTAGGTGGAGAGCAAATGTTGTACTCATTACTCATGCATGTATGCAAGCAGTTTCATTTGTTATCAAGCTGTTTAATGGAAATTTTTAACTGTTCTAACTTGAAAATGAAACATTTGTGGCACCTGATTTTTTATATTTAAGCATAATTTATGATGAGCTATGATGAGCAATTAAACTGATTTTAACATTTCAGAAATATCCTTGATTACTTTAAATTTAAAAAAATTGGTTTATTTTACTCACTTCTATTGCATCTTGATAGAGTTCTTCATCTGAAAAATCAAAATTCTAATTTTAATTTTAAAATTCTTTTGTTATAATTTTATAAAGGATTTATATTTCAAAATCTGTTTACCTGGAGATGCATCCGGAATGGCAGGTGGTGGCTTGCTTGGTTTTATGGGTGGCGGATAGGGTGGTAGTAGCGGTGTTTCTGCCTCTCCATCAGCATACAGTTCATCTAGATCGAAACTCTCTCTTCCACTTCCAAGCTCCTCTTCTTCTGTGTATTCAGGTCTATAATTGTAATTAAAATATGTAGCGATTAATAAAATATCAACTTTAATAATATATTTCTTAAATATAACCACAAATATCTTAGACAATTTTCTGATAGCCAGAAGCCCAGATTTAGGGTTCTAGGCAACCTGAGCCTGAAAGACTTTGGTGCCCCTCCCATCCCAAGTTACTTTATCAAAAAAATTCTAGTAAACTAATACAATTTTCTAAATGTAGCTACATAACTGACTGTAGAAATAGCTCTCAATATACAAATGAAAGCAAATATACATAAACAATGAATTTATATACAGATTATACTACAACGTACATCATCGACACAGGTCTTGTCCTTTCTTCACTTGGAGCCGCAGTATCCGTATAGAGTTCTTCTTCGGGCAGACTGGCTTCTGGCTTCATGCTTGCAGGTTTGGGTGGAGGAGGAACTGATCTCAATGGCTTTGTGGACAGTACTACGGAGATTGCATTAAGGTAATTGTCATTAATTAATTTAATTCATGTATTAATAAATCTTGAGAAATATGTAAATTAGAATGTCACTAGTACTTGCTACAATAGGGATCAATGTTAATGAAGGAAGATCCAACTCCTTCAGTACTTAGAGTAAGTGCTAATTTTAAATAGGTGATAATGGTTTATTTGAAATGAGGCAAGTGAGGAAAGATGGGGTATAGTATGTATTTTGCTTATTAAATACTGTAACTTAGTAGTAAATATTACAACTAAATCTGCACACTTGAAAGAAGTAGATGGAGGGAAATTGGTGCTGTTATTTGGCACTCTTAGCCTATAGAGGCAACAATGTGTTTGACAGCCATGTTGATGTAATTTGCTGTGTTTTCAGAAATGCCTGCAAGTAAGTAATTCAAGGGTTTTTATTTTTTTTTATTCTTTTTGTTAGAAGAGAGAGCTTTTGACTTCATATGACTATATAACATCTTTTATTATATCATTGATTAACAAAAACCTTTAACAAGACTTCAAAATGACATATTGTGGCAAGATAAAAAAAAACAGGGTTAATTCATTGTCTCTCATTTGTTATCCCCACCTTAATGAAGAAACAAAAAAATGTAAGATAAGACAAAGTTTGAGAGCAAGGCCAAAACAGGAAGTTGTGAAAGGACAGAACACAAAGAAGAAAAGGAGAAATGCATTAGTGAAGATGGCTGAAGAGTGCTTTGAATGACAATGACACTGAATAACTTTCTGTTGAATCAAAATACAGATATCCACAGCAAAGTTGGATATGTAGTGTAATATGTCACCGATGGACACATGTTCATGAGATGGTGATGATGATGAGATTCACTAAATTTGTGTTTTATATCTCCAACAAAAATATATTGCTGTAGTATAAAGTTTATACTTTTGTAATAAACCCTAAATATTCTTTCATAGCTAATTTGACATTTAATCTTTGAATTTATTTTTCATAATTATAATTTTAACTGCTCTATATTGCCTCAAAACATACCCTGTCTGTGGAGAAAGATGGGATAGTTGATTTCATAAACATTGAAAAATTTTGCTGTTTTTACATTGATTTAAAGACATGTCAAACAGTCAATGCCAGATAAAGATTTTCCAGGTTTAAAGAATTAATTACATAAAAATAAAAGTTCTTAACTACACCATCTTGCATTCTCCTAATAAATGTGGATGAGAAAAATAATTTAAGATGTAATAAAATGTATTAATTTAGATAAATTAATAACCTTCCTCTTTTGCACAATATAAGAGGGAATTTTATACAGGGATGGGGAGTCAGCAGAAAAATATACGACTCTGACTCGGTATTTTTTAAAATCAACTTTGACTCTCATAAAAAGATTTGACTCTTCAACTCCTGACTCCAACTCCCCATCCCCGATTTTATATGCACCTCAGATTACATAAAAGAGATCTTTAAGGTTTATCATACAATAATATCAACTTGCCAAAACCCAATGTATTGATACAAAGCCAAATGATCACCATAATTAACCAAGCTATTAATATGCTATAATTAATAATTAGAAACTCAGTATTTTGGTACTAAAGGTAGCTGTTAGGTCGCCATCTCTTATCTAAACTAATAATTATAATAATTTATTAAATAGTTCCACTCTGGGCTAGTTTTCTTCCATAATGATCTAAATTATTTAATAAATTATTAAATTGTTATAATTATTACGTTAGATAAGAGATGGTGCCTAATGTCTACTTCTAGTACCAAATTACTTAATTTCACCATATTACTATCCTAATTAATTACGGTGATCCTTTGGCTTAGTATTATCGTACAATAAAGTACATTTTATATGCTTCTTACTGTATAAGATCTAGGACCTAGTTTGTATTGGATACTGTTAGAGTAAGTAATCTGTGTAAAATTTAAAAGCCACAAGACATCTTGTCTGTAGGAAGATTCAAAGACAAAGGTTAAACTATATAAAGCATTTTATGATCTTTTCCAATAGAATGCATGGCATTTATATTAAAGGGGTTAACTGTTTTGGAAGGGCAATAGAATACTGCACATCTGGAGAGCAATTTACATAAAAAATTGATCATACTAATATATATCAAAGGTGGCAATATATAGTTTATAACCAGAATCTCTACAGATTTTGAATACTGGACCAAGTGTTGATGAGCAATATATCTTTATATGCATAAGGTCCTAGAAAAAGTCTAAGATCCATGTCTAAAGTGACCATTGATTGGTGGCATTTGAAAATAAAGCTATGGTCTTTGAAAACATTAATGTGTAAATTATACAGACTCTTAGAACTTATAAGTTATGCACTTTGATGCCTTAACCAATAATGATAAAAAGTATATCTAATGGTGCAATGCAGCTCTAAATGAGGTGGTTGGGACATTATCAGAGTTGTAGGCCATGCCCATACAAGTAAAAAAAGTGAAAGAAATGAACCAATGGTCTATGTATGACCAGTCATAAGATACCGTATTATGTTAGAGTTGACAAAGGAATCCAACCAAGTTTCTCATATAAAACAAGTTTAATTCACAATTCCCATTACAACTGTAAATAATCTCAACAAATATTTAATGCAAAAACCTGTGATGCCTTAACCTGTATTAAAACTAAAGGAGAGTGGAATAAGAGGAAAAGAGGAGAATGACAAGAGTTATTTGGCAGAGGTACCTCAAAGCCCAAAGTTGTAGGTGGCAATGTTGTGTTCTTTGGTACCATAAAACAAGTATATATATATACACTTGTTTTATGATATGGTACCAAAGAACAGCAAAAAGAATTATCTGATATCATATACATATATATATATATATATATAATATGATATCAGATAATCCTTTTTGCTGGCAAAGCTTTGTAGAATCTTTGGAGTCGATACAACCTGGCAATCTTTCTATCCTTTTGTTCGTTGAAAGTAATCTTCTCAATCATCCTTCTATACAGACAAACATGTGTCAGTTTTCTTCCATCTACCAAACACCAAACAACAAACTCCCATTGGGACTTATTGTTCCTCTAGGCAATAAACCGGTTAGCAGGACAGAAAGTTCTAGAAATATATACAAATAATAACTATAACTAAATATATTTACATATAATACATAACAGGTGACTGTCACAATACAGCCTCCCAAAACTGGTCAATAAATAAGTGGCAGGCTTAACAAAGCATGCAACACAACTCTGATTGTATCCCAGAAAGCTAACGGTAGTAAAGCAGAAAACAGTTGATGTTTAGCATTGCTATGAGAAAACATTCCGGATTTTTCACTTTTAAATTTTGTCATTTTTCAGTCTTCAAAATTCTTCATAGTCTTTTGGGGATACATCTCACAAAGAGTCACATGTAAGACTGCCAATTCCTTTGACTTTTTTATTCCTATGAACATGATCTACAATCCTTTTATTCAAATAAGGTCTCAACTGCTTCATTCAGAGCTACATTTGTACGCATCTAACCAGGATTTGCTTTAATTTAATAATCATTTCAACTAAATTTTGTTTCATTATACTCTTGAAGGTTAAAAATAGTGTTAAAAATCCTGAAATATTTCATTTCTAAAATAAATTAAAGAACTTAAAAATAAAATAGAATAATTCAAGCTAACAATATTCATTGTTAGCTTATTTAAATTTACTGATATTACTGTGATTTTTAGATAAGATTAATTTGAATGAGCTTTATAGTTATCACTATCTGTTATCTATAATTTCCAAGTTAAAAATAAGGAGATAAGTATTTGATAAAAACAACCTTGACAATGTCAAATATATAAACCATGGAACTTTATATTATTGTTATATTATATAAATATATAAAGAATATTCTTCTTTATATATTTATATATACACTAGTGGATATGACCAATGTCTGGGCAAGAAGAAAGAACAAACATTAAAATGGAAATCGTATTAAGAGTTTGATTATTTTTAGCCTCCATGTTTATCATAACAGTCAGATAGTAATTAACAGTGAAGTTTCATTGGTTGGATAGACAGGAATTGATGTTTCAACAGAAAACGGTTGTTGACTTCCACCAGCATGAAAAAATAATTTGAGACTGCAAATTTTTTCTAATGTTAACACTAATGTACCATTCATGGCCAAATATGAAATGGTAAAAATAGACCAAATATTTAAACTCAGCACCCTCAAAAACCCCTAAAAACATATTTTGTGCTTGCTGTAATTTTGTATTTAGTAATTTTCCTACTTGAATGCTTCATCCTACCTGTCAGGTAGAAAGAGAAGCCTGTTGTGGATGGGAGTTGAAGTTAATTTGACCAGAAGTAGTCACTGATCTCTTCCTAGATGAGAGGATCATCCCTATAAAATTTCATTGCATTTGGTTAGGTTAAGTTAGAATCTCATTAGAAGGCAGGATAAGAGTTTTAAGTAAGAGTAACACCATTAGTTTCAAACTTTGGGTGTTTCCTATTTTAAAGAACATGTTACGGTTATTCAAATGTTAAGAAAATTATACTTTCTTAGAGCAAATTCTGCAAATTCATTAAATATTTGAAATTTAAATACCTTCAAGTCTTGCCAACTCATCTCCGAGGACATAAATGACATGTTCTTTTTTTTTTTTTTTTGCAATAATGTCCTGAAAGATTCTACAGGTTCAAAAATACTTTATTTATTTTCAGTGTTTAAAATTCGTTTACTCTAATAAGACATAATTTTCTCACAATTTGAATCTTGAGTGAAATTTTGAAGATTTCTGATGTTAATGCTACTGTCAACAATATAAAAGTAAACCAATTTTTTGAATTGCTCAACTTTCCCAGTAACATTTAAAATTTGTGGTGCAATTTGTTAACATATTTTATTGAAAAAACTTGTTATATTTTTAACTATTATAAAATGGCAAAAAGCTTAATTTTGAGGATACGGATGAGTTTTATAAAAATTTGTAAATGCTAATAATAAGTAAAATTGTCATTCAGTCCAACCCCACTGCAGATACACACAATCCCCATTATCTCCAGACTCCCTTGACCTTTAAACACCAAAATTGAATAGCATCAATCTCCCTAATAAAAAAAACTTTTCTGCAAAATTTCAGAAATTTTTGACAGTAAACTTCAAACAGGGTGAATAAAGTGCCAAGTACACAGATACACACAATCATATGTACAAAAAACCCTCCAAGTTTATTGTACTCAACATTTAAAGTTGTCCTAAATCCAAAAATGTAAAAATCTGAGGGGTCATTTCTTGCCTGATTGCCATACTTTCCCTCTATACAACAGCCAGGAAAATAAAAATTATAAAGTTGAAAAATATTAAGAAAAATTTGAAATGAAACTGTAATAATAATAAAATAGCAATGAAAAAGTGTTTAAAATGTATTTAGAAAGTTAATGAAAAGAGAAATTTCTAGTAATTAATTAAATCCTAAAAAATAATCAATATTGAAATGCTTCTTCATTTCATTAATCTAGCAATATGAATGAAGTTTTAATTATCTTTACTTAATTATGATTAATGCATAGAAAAGCAATTTTGCCTGCTGTAAGACAATAAAAAGACTTTGTTAATACAACGAGAAAGGCGTTATTCTCCACTAAACCGCATGCAGAGAACAGTTAATTACCAACAATAATATAAATTTTAAAAATAATTTATATTCTATTTATTTTTGATTCATCATGGGAAGTTTACACAATATTTGAACCATCTCTTGATCAAATAAATGTTATATTATTTTGTATTTTAATAAGACTATTTTACATCCCACCATCTTCCATAATTCAATTCATATAAATTGTTTCGTTTATTACTTGTATACAGTAAATTATGAATGAAGTTTGCATTTATGTGGAAAAACAAGTGTAAAATGCATCAAATTAAATAAATTACACAATTTAGAGAAATATAGTTGCTTAAGTCTAATTATTCCAACATTAACATTTTTCTGATGAGAGATATACATACATACTTAACAAGGCATCTTTGGGCACGGAAGTTGAAAGTGGACAAATTCTGCATTTCACTTTTGCTTTTATAATATTGAGATTAAATTTGGATGCCCACATTTAAGCTAAGAACTTCAAAAACAATGTTCAACAAGGTTAGACTTCTAAAAAGTGAAGGCAAAATTGCTCAAAACATGAGACTTGTCCTTAATTATTTCTTATTTATTATTAATTATTTTATTTTTTTTGGTAGGACTTTTACTCACTTATGTCCATCATATTAAAGCAATATGGTCTCTTCAAAGTTCAGACTCAAAACAGAACAATTTACATTACCCCAATGCAAATTGTTACCTTATTTCTTACCTTTACTTTACAACAAACGAAGAGAGATGGCCAAATGTTAAGCCATATGTTAAAGTGAAAACTTACCACTCTAGATCTATAGGGTCTCGTCCCTCACCACCCAGCTGCCCAATTGTTGGCCGAACCCAGAATGGGCTTACCAAAAAGGCCCTCTTTTTAGCCTCCATGTTTATCATAACAGTCAGATAGTAATTAACAGTGAAGTTTCATTGGTTGGATAGACAGGAATTGATGTTTCA